GGGGGGGGGCGCCCAGGGGGGTATTGTCGCGGGGGCTCAGGCAAAGGTTGGAGAGCGCGAGAGACCCTTGCGCTACCCCCTGGGTGTTGGGGGCTGCGAATTTCGTGAGCCGAGGGGAGGGTTGATCATGATGGGGGGGATGATGAGGGCCGCACCGGGCCGTGTCTTGAGCGCATTGGGCTCACCTTGTGGTGGGGGAAACTGCCGCCGCTTGGCCGTGAGTTACCGTCACCTCTTCCCCCTTCTTGCACCCCAGCACCCCGGCACCCCCACCCCACGCCCTCGTACCCCCCAGGCGTACCCCCCACCCCAAACCCCACGCCCTTGCGCCCGTCAAACCCACAGTGGCGCTACCTCGCCGTGCGCGAGGACGCAGCCCGCGCCCGCGCCGCAGCAGTCGGCGGCGAGGGGCCGTGGCGGCCTTGGGTGCCCCAGAAGGAGCTGCGTGTGCCGCCTGCGTTTGTGATACGCGGCTGCACCGATGGCGCCGACTTTGCCGTGCTGGGGGCGGCCAGGGGCAACGTGCCGCTCCACTACCTCGTGGATACCATGTCTGTCCGGCTGGCCGCTGATTACGTGAGCCCAGGCGTGGGGCGGCAAGAGGGGCTCGATTATGCCAGCACGTCATTTCTGTTGTTGAAAGCACGGACTCAACGACCCCACACGCCCGGCAAATCGAGCAGTCGCCAGCCTTCAGCATCACCGCGCATGCGGGAGCGACCCCTCTCAAACTTCATGCTTTATGCTGCCGGCACCGCAGCAGTGCCCACCATGCCCCCCGACCCGCCCCGAAAACCTTGCGGCGGCCGCGCCAGGCCTCGAGGTGCCTGCGCCACTCCTTCCTGGCCAGCTGCATCAGATCAGTGGACGCAAGGCTGCGGCTCGAGCTGCAGATGCTGCGGGATGCCGAGGGCGCGGGGTGCGCGCTGCCGCTGGCGGGGGCCCTCGCGGGGGCGGCGGAGCGGGAGGGGGGCCGCTCCGCAGACTGCCTGCGGCTGTACACCTCGGTGAGCGGGCGCGGCGCCTGGGGCGGCATGCTGGCGTGACAGCGGGCTGCGGCATGGCGCTGCTCAGGCGTGGCTCTGGCTGTGGCGGCGGGAGGCAGGGTTTGTGTCGGGCGGCGACTGTCGTCCAGCAGGGCTCTGATGCAGCCGGGTCTGATCCCACCATTCCTTCTCACACTGTCCAGCTGTATACCCCCCCCCCACACACACACACACAAACACATACACTTGCGTACGTACACGGATTTGGATCAGGATTGTTACAAGATTCCGCGGTCGCCCGCTCCTGGAGCCATCCAGGCTCATGGGATGTAGCGTTGTAGCATCAGCGTTGTGTAACTTGAACGTACATGTGCAAACACACACACACACACACACACACACACACACATGCGAACATCCTGCCCGCTCAACCCCATGGCCAGCTCTTCCCGAGCCTGGAGGCGTTTGTGGAGGCGGCCATGGGGGACCGGTGGGAGGTGGTGAGGGGCCACCCAGACGCTGACAAGCGGGGCTGCGCGCTCAAGCTGCGCCCAGAGGCTGCAGGCGTCGGCGGCAGCGGGAAGCAAGGCCCAGAACAGCAGGACGGCCGCCGCGGCGTGGACCTTCGCGGGGAGGGAGCAATGGGGTGCGGCCGAGTGACGAGCGCGCAAGGCGGTCCCGACCACGATGCTGCCCACAACTTCTGGCAGGCAAGGCCTGCTGAGGCGGGATACGCTGTGCCTCTTGTGGTGCCCTTTGGCCCATCGTTCTTTGGGTGATGATGGCTGGCTGCCAATCAACGCCTCAGTCCCATGCACATTTGATCCGTTCACAAGCAGCATTCCTTTGTTGTGGCCCACAGCTTACTATGGTGGTGGTGCGCCAGCAGTCATTCTTGCGTGGTTTTCAAGATCACTGTTTGGAAATGAAGTTGAACCTTAACACCTCTGCTGCAGCTTGTGCAGCGTTGCGATCTGCTGCAGCTCATGCAGCATTGCAGTTGCCATCGTGAAAGCCGATGTTGTTCGAAACGCGGCGCTGAATGGAGAGCGCACATGCCACGCATGTGCCACGAAATGTGCTTTTGGGCGTTGCGTGCAATCCGTCGTTGCAAAATTGCTTGTTGTTGTAGAACGTCGAGGAAATTTGCGCAGCGAGCATGCCGGGTTGTGTGGAGCCTGAAATCGCCTGTGCGTGACTGCAACAGCACATACAGGCGAAAATCTTGGCAGGGCGGGTGCAGCCGTTGATAGCATCGAAGCCTGCAATGCGGTCAGATGACACGCACCAACCTCTCATTGAGGTAGGCGTGGTGTCACAAATGAAGGCTTGAGATGGCTGGTGGCAAAGTTGCCAGCGCAGCACAGGCCAGAGCAGCATGTTTTGGCCCCTGCACCTGTTGCAGGCAGCTTGGGGTTGCCATCGCCTTGGCATGTGAGGCCTTGCAGCGGGCCACGGTGTTCAGGCACAGCGCAACAGGTTGGTGATTGCGTGACAGCACAGCGCCCAGGGCGAGCTACTTGCACCGTCACTGCTGTTGCGGGTAGTGACGCCTGTCCTGCCCAAGCGCGGTGACATTCTGCCCGCCGTTCTGCAGTCATCGCACCACCAGGCGTCAAAGCGAGCCCCTTCACCGCTCCACCGCCATGACGCAGCGGAGAGCGGCGTTGCCCGTCCGCCTGTACATCGTCCCTACCCCACCCTCCCGCACCACCCCAAGGAACAGCATGGGCGTCGACCGGTGCAGCGGGTGCGCTGCCAGCTGCAGTGTTGTCGGCTCACTCGCGCAGCACAGCAGGCACCTCGGGTTGCGCTTGCCCATGCTAGATTCGTGTCGCGACACAGAGGGCCCACGCACTCATACTGGTCCGACCTGCTGTGACCCATACGCACCTGTGAAGGTTGAGCTGGCTGCAGGTGGGCATGTCGTTTAGGAGTTCACACAAGGTGATAAGCATCGGCGTTCGGGGTGTTTTCATGCTTGTTGATGGGATTGCTGAATCACTGCTGAGGGCTGCGGGAGCGGGGTTACGAGTTCCATGGCATTGGCGTGATTCCAAGCCCCTTTCACCCTCCTTGGTTTGGTCCTTGGCGTCCAAACCCCGCTGTCACCCATGTCTAACCGCAGCGACGGTTGCCCCCTTGCTACATCCTCTCAGTGTGTCCACACTGAGAGACGAAACCCTGAGTTTGCCTCTGTGGGTCCATGGGAAACCCTGTGGACGCAGTGTGTGCGATGAGTCTCTTCAGCCGTCACATCCAGGCAGCGCATGTGTCGCACCGGGCAAGTGAAGTCATGAATTAGCAGTCACATGGCGCCACAACGCACATGCACCTATGCAATTCTTTCACTCCACCACCCACTTGTTTAATGCGCCTCTGGATCCAGCCTCGATTCGCCCGCCCAGCACGCTGCGGTACTGCCCGTACGGTGTACCCCAACAGTACAGTGTACCCCAACTTTTGTTGAATGCCTTTTCACGAGCGCACAGAATTTCCTGTTCACTTAGCTTAATGGTTTCAATACAACCCGCTTGTATGGAATCCATGTCACCTCTACACCAGTCTTCAGCAGCGATTACATAATCGAGTTTGGATGCCATTGGTATCTGAACGGCATCCATCGTTCGCGGGACACAATCAAGAAAGACTTCAAGAAAAGGACTCCCAAACAGTCTATGCACAAGCACAACAGCAGGTCCCAAACAACAGGCATCAACAAGCAAGCGCACACACCGGTCGTCAAGGCTTTGGTTGGGGGACTGGCATATGGGCTTTGTGCACATGAGCTGCAGTGTTGATGTTGCCCATTTACAACTACACATGAGCAAACAACAGCCACTGCTTGCCACAGAGGCGGTCCTCAGCCACCCGCATGCGCTCTAATCGCACTCCTCCCATCCCGTCTCGCACCCCTCCTCGCCCGCGCCCACCGCCGCTGCCAGGGGCATCATGGGCGCAGGTGTATTGCAGGGCACCTCAGGCCAGCAGGGCAGTGCTCCGCAGAAACGTGGCGGCACACGTAAGGGTTGTACGATGCGTCGCGGCCGTCGGGCGTCAATTCAACCATCCATGTCGTCCGCGCTACCTGGGTGGTAACCAGGTAGCCATGCAGGTGGCCCTCGATGAAAGGGCAAAGCTTGGGGCGGTCGCCACTGCGCCCGCCCTGTGCGTTGAGGTTGCGGCGTAATGTGGTTGTTAGCGGGGGAGAGGCGTGGTTAGCAAAGGCTTGAGCATTGTCGTGCCAAAGGGTGGCGGCTCACGCGTGTGAGTCAGCGTGCACCTGGCTGCCTGGCAGCATTGCGGGCCCCGCAATGCACACAGCATGGCGCTGTGGCTGCCGTGCCTGCGCAGGTGCGTCACGACGACCCCCCTACCGCCCCCTTCCCCCTGGCTACTAGGCAGGAGCGAGTCCACCCACCCCCTCGCGCTCCATGATGCCTTTGAGGAGGTTGCCAACCTTCCCCAGCTCCAGCCGCGGCCGCTTCATCTGTTTCATCACAGGCCGCAGCTTGCAGAGGCATTCCTGCGCCAGGCCGCCGCAACCCCTCTCGGACCGCGCGCCCTCGCCGCTCGCCGTCCACTGCCTGCCGGCGGCGCCGCTGCTGCTGACGGTGCGGCGCGGTCCGGCCCCCGCGGCATCAGCGGTGGGGTCGTACTCGGCTTGGGGTGAGCCGCCGCGCTCCAGCCCTGCGGGCCACTCGCCGAGGCCCTCTCCGCGCTCGGCCCGCCGCTCCTCGCCAGCAGCGACGCCGTCCGCGGGCGCTGGCGACGCCCCCTGCCGGCGCCGTTTGGCCTCCCTCGGCGACGGCGAACGCCGCGCGCCCAGCGCCCCCGCCGCCCGCGGGTCCCCGCCAGTTTCCTCAGGCCCCACCTCTCCCTCCTCCTCCTGCTGCCGCTGCCGCCGCCGCTGCTGCCTGGCGGCAGCCTTGTCCGCCTCTCGCCGCAGCCACCGCGCCGCAAGCCCCTCCGGCAGGCGAGATCCCCGCCAGAAGTTGACGCCTGGCTCTGCGCCACCGCGGATGCGAATGAGAGAGCCTTGGCGCTGCGCAAAGGTTTGCGGGCGCATCACAACAGCGAGAGCGCTGGGTCGGGCTGTTGCGCGTGCCACCACCAGCTGCTGGACGTCCAGGTTGGCCGCTGCAAAGGTGCCCGGCTCCCAGTACAACTGCGGCAGATGGTCCAGGTGTGAGTCGCATGGGGTGAGCCCCACTTGAAAGCACATTCCAGCGCAGGCGCGCATGCGCGAGGGGCTCCTAGCGCAAGCATGCCCAACACCTGCCAACACCATCCCCTGGCTACACGACCGGGGCCGGGAGGGGGTTGAAGGGAGGAGCGATGGGGTAAGGGATCAACGGGAGGTTGTCGTTCCATGATCACCTGTGCGTAGAGCTTCAGGGAGGGGCTGCACATGCCCATCACGGTCAGAATGGGCAGCTCTGGGTCCCGCGAGGCCGCGGCAGCGTCCACAGCGTACGCCTGCAGTGCAGCCACCTCCTGCGCGAACAGCTCGTGACTCAGCAGGTGCTGGTCCCAGCCGGCCGCCAGCGCAGCAGCCGTTGGTGCACCGCCCGGCGGTGCCCGCACCAGGCGGACTGCCCGGCAGCAGAGCGAGATGAAGCGCGCCAGCGAGGACGGAGTGGCGGCATCGCCGGCTGCAGCGCCGCCCCCGCCGCCTCCGAAATGTCTGTGGATCAACCCCTGCACCGCCTGCGGCAGCATCTCCCACAAAACACCGAGGTCCACCGCGACCTGAAGCCCAATCTCCTGCCGCCAGGCGCGGTGCCCAGGCCGCCATTGCGCCGCGTGCGGCTGCGGCGGCCAGCCGTACAGGCTGGCGGCGCAGATGATGCTCAGGGCCAGCATCAACTCAGACAGCTCGCAACGGTGCGCAGTGTTCTCCACAAATCGGGGGAAGCCGCCGCCGTGCCGCATGCACTCCAACACAAAGAGCTCCTTCCGAGCCTCGTGGCCTGGGGGCAGCGCGCGCACCCAGCGCCGCACGGCCGTGGGATCCGCGAGCGGGGCTTGGAAGCTGCCCGCATCCACGCTGCTGCTGCGGCTGCGACTGGGTGTGCGCTGGCTGCTGCAGCTGCGGTGGCGGCTGCTCTCGTCGCTGGAACTGCACCGGTGCCGAGAGTCCCGCGCTTCTGCTTGCTGATTCTGCCTTGGCTGTAGTGGCGGCTCGGCATGCTGCTCCTGCTGCTGATTGGGGTGCGGCTGCCCTGCCTGCAGGCTGTTGCTCATCTCCATAGCACTGGAGGCAAGTGTACACTCTCTGGCAAAGCCATCGTCGCAGTCGCGCTGCAACATGTGTGGCCGCTCCTCCATGCGCTGCTGCTGCTGCTGTTGCTGCAACTGCTGCTGCTGCTGCTGCTGCTGCTGCTGCTGCTGCTGCTGCTGCTGCTGCTGCTGCTCCTGCCGCCGCCGCCACTCCTGCTGCTGCTCCCACTGCTGCTGCTCCTCCTGCTGGTGGTGCTGCTGCTGCTTCTCCTGCTGCTGCTGCTGCTCCCAATGCTGCGGCTGCGGCTGCTGCTGCTGCTGCTGCTGCTGCTGCTGCTGCTGCTGCTGCCGCCGCCGCCACTCCTGCCGCTGCTCCCACTGCTGCTGCTGCTGCTCCTGCTGGTGGTGCTGCTGCTGCTTCTCCTGCTGCTGCTGCTCCCAATGCTGCGGCTGCTGCTGCTGCTGCTGCTGCTGCTGTTGCTGTGCCTGCTGGTCTTGCTTGCCCCAAGCGCCAGGCGCCTGCTCTGTCTGGTGCAGCTGCTGCAGCAGCGCCTGCAACGCCTCGGTATCGGGCGGCTGGCAGCGCGACACCGCCACTGTGTGTACCAGTCGAAGGGCCTCTGAGCGCAGGGCAGGCGGCAACCCAGCAGCGACGCCGCCGCCGTGGCTGCCGCCAATATTTGCACCCAGCAGCGCCACAGCGTCACCCAGCGAAGCCCCAGCCTGCTGCATCAGGGCCGACAGCTCCGCCAGCGGCTGCTGCAGCAGCGCCAGCTTGGCCAGGCGCAGGGCAACCAGCACGCATGACGCGCGGTCCCCCAGGTGCGCGCCACCGCCGTATGCACTGCTGCTAGCGATGTTGCTGCCTCTGCCCGCATGATACACCTTCTCGGCCTGTCTGAATGCCGTCAACGCCGCCGACCACACCGCCGGTGCTGCTGCTGCGAGGCCGCTCTGGCTGAGCAGCCGGCTGAGGGCGACAGGCACCGCCTCGCCCGGCCACAGGCGCAGCAGTGTTGACTCCCTGTCGATCGTGCCTGAGGCAGGGATGTTGGGTGCAGAGCTGCTAAAAGGAGTTGTGCAGGTTGGCTGCGTTGTTCGCACCCGCCTGTCTGGCGTGCTTGGAAGCAGGCTAGCAGTCACCACGTTTTCTTGGCATGTCTGGCTGCAGCACCAGGACAGCGGGACCTCTCACCATCACACGCGAGTGTCAGACGCAGCACCGCCACCACGCTGCGCAGCGCCACGCTGCCGTCCAAGTTGAGGCATGCCACCACAGCACCCTCGATGGACCCCTCGAGGGCGAGCTCTGGTGACAGCTGCCGCAGCCGGTGCGCTGCCAGCAGCAACGATTCGACCTCGTGGGCGCAGCAAAACAGCAGCTGCAGGTGGGTGTCACTAGCCATGGCAGCGACGCCCTGCGGTGGTCGGCGACGAGTGCGCGCAGCGCGTTGACACAATGGGTGCAAGTGGCCGACGTCAATTGCGGGTAGGTGCGTCATAAATCCACCTGCATCTTATTATCAGCGACTCGGCATTTCACGCTGTCCCGATGAGTCGCGTGCAACTTGAGGACGAGTGCTGCGCCGAATAGATCGCGCACGATGCGGGCTGAGCAATACGAGGATCGCAGGATCTTTTACTGATGAATTCTGGTCCGTTTTGGGGCCATCCAACCGCCCCCACAGCATGCCGCCAAGTTCCGTCACTGCATGCCCGCCCGCATCTCTGGACCTCGCTGTCGTAAAAATTGCTGGCAGGGGGGTGGTTTCGCAAGCCCTGTTGGGCTGACGTGGTCTTGTTAATCAGATCGTGGCTTGTACTTTAATTACTTTAATTACATGAGGTCAGGCGGGATGTGGCCGCTGTCCTAGCACGCAGGCTCACAGGCAGCATCAGCTTGGCGATTGGCGCACTGTCAGCAAAGGCCTTAGCAACAAACGCGGAGGGGCGCGCGTGAGCGCGACATGCACGTTGCGACTGAAAGGCTGGAGGTCAGCATCCGTGACCCACATCCAAGGGGTTGACCACTGCGCTGCGGGAGAGTGGAGTGGTGGTAATCCTGAAGTGATTGGACATAATCATCCAGGGCCGCGAGGCGGCGGGCGGGGGGGGGGGGGAGACAAGGAACGAAGTGCGATTGGCCAGCAAGAGACAGCGCACCTTGGAATGACGCTATGTCGGAGGCAGGTGGTCAATCCGCCCTCCCCTTGCAAACTGCAGTGCCGTTACCAAGCGGTCAAGCCGTTTGTTCACTCATCACCGCGCGTGCTCTCCTGATTGTACAGCCACAGCCATTCCTGTGCTGAGCTGCAAGAGGCAAAACCATCACCCTGCAGGTTAAAAGTGCCAACATGCCAGCTTTCAGGGCTGCTTCCGACGTGCACCAGCCAGTCCCTTGTCACCATCTGAGATTGCCATCTCACAAGGTGCAACGTTCCAACTGCAGTGTTTCCTCCCCTCATTGTTTACGGCCGGGGATGTCACGGAGTGCTTGGGGTGTGCGGACAGCACCAGAACCACGCCCCACATGCACGCGATAGTGCTGTGCCAGCAGTGAGCCGACATCAAGGATGGGCAAGGCAGCTGAGATGATCTCATGCACCCAAATAGGCTCATTCCCCAAAGCGGGCGTTGTGCCGACATGCTGCGCGTTTCATGGGCGCTAGCAAGGTTTGACGACCCTGCCTGTCTATCTGTCTGTTTGCTTCCCAATACTGCATGAGAAGCCACAAAGTCATCGTATGCAAACAATAGAACAGAAATGTGCCACAAATAACACGACAGGGATAAGCCCGACATTTGCATTCAACATTGCACATGATGTGCACATACAGTACAACACTGCATCTTAATGCACACTGCCAGCGCTGCCACTACGTGCTCTGGATACCCTCCACCTGCAGCTGGTCTGTGCGGGTTGGCTGCAGCACGGGGCATTGCATTCGCATGCCTTGGGCAGCCATGGCTGGTGCAGCTGTCCCGTGTGCGCCTCGCTGGTACCGCAGATTGCACGTTGCAGTTGCGCTTGCCGCTGACGCAATCCGCTGCAAAGGGCGTCCTGCTGAGGCTCCAGGCCTGATGGTGCTGGCGGCTGCGGAACAAACCCTCCCCCCGCCGCGGTCTAGAGACAAAATAGAGAACGCCCCGGGAGCCTCAGGGCTCCCCGCATTGTCGAGCGCACTGACGCCACGCTTAGAGGGACTGCAACCTTCCAAAGCCGCTGCTGCTGCTACCACTTCTGTATTATTGGCCACAGCTGTTGGGCCGCCCGCGGCTTCGGTCGTTGTGAATGGCGCCGTCATGGGGGCAGCAGCTGTAATGATGAGGTCATCGAGGTCCTGCGCAGCCAACACCCCGGCTACAGGCGGCGGCACCGACAGCCGCCGCTGCTGCTCATCCCGGGCAGCCTCGTCGAGCGCGCGCCGCGCGTTGCGTGCCGCGCTGCCGCGGGCTCGTGTCCCGCCGGTGCTGGCGCTGCCGGCCTGTGACCGTGGCTGCTGAGGGCTGCAGGCGAGGTTGCCTGCTAGGACGGCGGGGGCTGATGCACCCTGGGACCCTATCACATGAGAGGACTTTCGCCGCTGCTGCTCCTGCTGCTGCTGCTGCTGCTCCTGCTGCTGGCTGCCAATCTGGTGTGTGGAAATTACGGCTGCCAAAGCGGGGGACTCCACTGGTGCACTGGCTCGGTCGTGGGACCCCCTGCAGCGGCCCACCGTCATCCCGCCTGCGCGCTCAGCGGCGTGCTCCGCCTGTGCCGCCGCCTCCGCCGCAGCCGAGGCCGCCGCTTCCGCCGCCGCCGCCCTTGCTGCTGCGCGTGCTGCAGTGTCCTCCAGCCGCCGCCTCAGCTCCTCCAGGGCCACCTCATCTGCCTTCATCATCAGGGCCGCCGCGGCCTTCTCCCCCAGCACCCGCAGCCCCCTCGGCAGCGCCGCCTCCAGCGCGTCCAGCCGCCCCTCCAGCTGCCGGGCGGCTTCCCGCGGTTGCATGCCTGCGACCGCCGCCTTTGCATTCTCCGAGGCGGCGCGCTGGACTGCCGCGAGGGCCGCGTCAAAGTCGCTGCGAACCTTGGACAGCTTGCGGCGCAGGTCAACCTGGGGGTTTTTGGCGGGCAGGGCGAGGTTTTGCAAAGTGAGCCGGGCAGTACCCTCAAAGACTGTCGATCGGGGTCCAGCCAACTTGAGGCCGTTGGCTAGCGCATGCTGATCAAAACATCAAAGCAAACATATCTGCATCGCGCCAGGCCTGTGTACATCAAACAGGGCTGGCGTCACCACTCACGAAGCCCTGTGTGCATCACACCGCCTGACAACTCCAACAACGCTGCATCTGCCTCACCTTGAGCACTGCCTCCTCCCGCCCGGCCAGTGCCCCTGGCAGCGCCTCCAGCCGCGCCTCCAGCCCTGCCACTGCCCCCCTCAAGCCCCCGGCCTCCTGCGCCGCCACTGCCGCTGCTGCGGCGACCGCCGCCTCCAGGTCTGCGCGCTGCACCGCCCCGGACAGGCGCCCCGCCTGATCTCCAAGCTGCAGCAGTGATGCTTCTGCACGGTCAAGCCTGGAGGTTGGAACACAGTCAAAGGGGGGTTGCACAGGTTTCGAAAGGTTTCCCGGTTTGCGCTTGTCAGCGAGCCTCGCTGTGAACCGCCGCCTCCCCTACGACCATGCTGCAGGTAACCCGCTGCTGCAGCAGCACCACCAGCGGCAGCTGTGTTGTCGCCCCAACCCCCCACCTGGTGACGGCAGCGCTCGTTTGCTCCCGCAGCTGCTGCACCGACGCATCCGTGCGCCCTGACAGCGCGGCAAGGCCGCGTCGCAGCTCCTCGCACCGCTCGTGCGCGTTGTTGCAGTGCGCGGAGAATGCCTTGGTCGCTGAGCGCTGGGTGTCGAGCGCTGCATGCAGCTGCTGCAGCTGTCCCTCCACCTTCACACCCAGCTGGTTGGTGCTCGCCTGCATGCACACAGCAAAGTCAAATATCGAAGGGGAATTCGATTCCAGCAGTGTTTAGCAGGCCGGACCTTCCAAATTGATTGTTGAAGCCGTGTGTCCTGAAAGATGCCGCTTGCTCTGCGCACCTGCAATTCCCGCCACCGCTGTTCAGCTGCAGCCGAGGCTGCCGCCGCCTCGTCCTCCGCAGCCGCCGCCCGAGCGTCCAGCGCCCGCAGGCCGTCCTCCAGCTGGGCCTGCCGCTGCTGCTGCAACCCCACGCTGTCTGCGACGTGGGCCCCTTCGCTGTGCGCCGCTGCCAGTTCTGCGCCCAGGCGCGATACCGCTGCCGAGGCCTGTGCGCAGTCGTGCTCCAGGCGTCCGACCGCTGCCCTGAGCTGCTGGTCGCTCTCTTGCACCTGCCAAGTGAGGGTGGGCCAGCAGCGCAAGCAAGGATCCTCCCATGTTCTCTCCAAAACGCCGTGTCAAAGCACAAGATTCCCGAGTTTGTGCGCCGATGAGTCAAGCAGGCTGCCCCCAAGCTAAGCACATGAGGTCTCCCGACTGCTGCCCGCCGCTTCCACTGCTCTCGCCTGCCAGAGAGTGTCAAGCCGCGAGTCCGCCTGCCCCATGCGGCCGCGCAGCTGCGCCACCTCGCGGCCCGCGTGCTGCGCCGCTGCCAGGGCGTCGGCGGCAGCAGCGGCAGCAGCCTTTGCTTCCGAGAGCGCCTCACACGCCATCGGGCATTGGTCCTGGCAACATCAGCACAGGCGCGTTGTGCTTCTGTGAACTCAGCGACCAAGCAGCCAGTAGGGTTGCAAGCTCAGCGTAGTGCAATTGCCACTGCACTCTCCCATGCTGTTGGCAACCTTGTCGTCAGGCCCAGGGAGTCTCTGATTTGTGCCCTCATTGCCCTCCGTTTTTCCGCCTTTTTTGTGTGCCGCGAAGCACTCACCAGCGCCCCCTGGCCCCAACTCTCTAGCAATCCAAACGCGCCCACTTCGCCGCCCGGCGTGCGCCGCACCGCCGCCGACCCCTTCATATCTGCGACGCCGCTGGACGCTGCCTGTCGCTCCACTGCACTGCCGGCGGCCGTGGGCGCGGCTCCCGCCGCAGCCTTGCCAGCCGCAGTGCTGCTGGGCTCTATGGCGGGGCCTCCAGCGCCAGAGGAGCTCACGGCGGCCCTGGAGCTCGCAAGAACGCCCTCCGCTGCGGGAAGCACACCGGCACGCTGTGAGGGTGGCCCGCTGCCCTTTGCGCCACGTGGGGTGTTGCAGCTGCTGGGCGGAGGGAGGCCTGCGCCAACCTGCGCCATGGGCCCTGCGATGCGCGGGCTGCGCGGGCTCTGGACCGCCGAGCCGCCTACCCCACTGCCAACCCCTCCTGGCGCTGCCGATAGCTGGCCTAGCGGCAGGGAAAGCTGGGCGGCGACGGATATGCGGCGCGCCTGCAGCCTTAGCTCCGTCTGAGGGTGGATGGGAGCGCGGCGGTGATGACTGTTGGGCCTCACCAAGCTTCGCGACAGAGTCTCTACACCCATGCATAAATTCCCTGATCAAAGTGTTTCCTCGCATAGGCGGATCTTCGCTGCGGCATGTTGCGCACCTGCACCGCATCCAGCTGTTGCTGCAGTGCATCACCCCTCTGTTCGCTGCGCTCCAGCTGCGCCCGGACGAGCGAGGCATCGATGGTGTTGATCAAGCGTAGAATAAATGTTGAAAAAGCACCAGATGACATCCAAGCTTTCGCGTACCTTCACGCTGAGCTGGGTGCAGACGTCCTGCAGCCCCAGGACGTCCTGGCTCAGCAGCGCCACTGCAGCCTCCATGTTCAGAATTGCAACACACGAATGTGCCGCCCGGAGCAGCGTGCAACGTGCAGTCTGATCTGCATTCCGAGTTGGGCTTTGACCGGGCAGTGCTTATGTAACTAGTCGGTTGCATGTGCCCTCTGAGCATCACGCAGTGATACTGAAGGTTATTGTTGCACAAAGAACGTGGTGATACTCAGCGGCTCACTTTGACCATCACGTGCACAGTGGAGGAGGACGTTCACCCAGAGCCAGGATTTCAAGCGGCCCGGGGATGGGGGGATGGGGTGGGGGGTGCCCCCACGTGGGGCGCTAGTTTGCACAGGCGGCGGGCGCGTGGGGGCCGCTGGGGGGCTCAGATAGGTTGTGTGAGGGGGGGGTGGGGGCAGGGCAACGGCTAGGAAAGGAAATAATGCTGGTGCTAGCTGCCAGGAAGTGAACAAGGTTCCGCAACTGCAGGGATTTCGCGTTTTAGAATACAGCAAATGTGGGCTTACACGGGCGCCGGTTTGCATATCATGAAATAACGGCAGAGAAACAGGGCAGGGGGTGTTCTACATCCATAATGGCTGTACAATGAATCTGCAATAAGCAGGCAGTGCGACATGACTGTTGAAATTTTGTGTGCACGTCATTGCGGGTGGTGTGGTTGGTCAGCAAAACGCCTCGTGCGGATGTGCTTCTGCAGTGTCATGACATTGTGTAATCGGTAACATTGTTGCCGGGGATGTCTTTCAAGCGGCGGGGGGGGGGGGGGAGATAGCCCCGGCGG